AATAACAAGAAGAAGATTAGTAAAGATTTAGAGGTAGGCAATATTGTCTTTAGTAAGGACTGGGGGAACATTCCCCCCGTGACCTAAACCTCAAAATAACAAAAAAGATTAGTAACGATTTAGAGGTGGGCAATATTGTCTTTAGTAAGGACTGGGGGAACATTCCCCCGTGACCTAAACCTCAAAATAACAAGAAGAAGATTAGTAAAGATGTTAGAGGTAGGCAATATTGTTTTAGTAAGGACTGGGGGAACATCCCCCCGTGACCTAAACCTCAAAATAACAAAAAGATTAGTAAAGATTTAGAGGTAGGCAATATTGTCTTCAGTAAGGACTGGGGAAACATTCCCCCATGACCTAAACCCCAAAATAACAAGAAGAAGATTAGTAAAGATTTTAGAGGTAGGCAATATTGTTTTAGTAAGGACTGGGGAACATCCCCCCCGTGACCTAAACATCAAAATAAAAAGATTAGTAAAGATTTAGAGGTAGGCAATATTGTTTTAGTAAGGACTGGGGAACATCCCCCCCCATGACCTAAACCTCAAAATAACAAGAAGATTAGTAAAGATTTAGAAGTTGGCAATATTGTCTTTTGTAAAGACTGGGGGAACTGGGTTGTCATTCTCCCCGTGTTAGCTCTAAGGTTAGGGTTCTGTTAGTGTCATTAAGGGTTTGTGTTCAAAATAGTAAGCTAAGACAACACACTCGTAGGAGTATAAAACGTTTCCAAGTATTTACGATTTTTTAAGGTTTTTTTTTTTCAACTCACTATTTGGTAACCTAAGTTAATTTAAGTATATAAATAATACTGTGTTACTTTACCTAATTTATTATTCGGTATTGTACGGTGGACCGACTGTTTGGTGATTACATTCCAGAGTTCTTTTCACCAATAGTAAACTTGAAAATTTAATTTGTTACGCATATATCTATTATTCGCCATGTTGAGAGTTACATGTATCTTATATGTGCTTCAAAGTATTTCTAATGTAAATATTTGATGCTAAGTGTTTATTTCTCTTCGTTCTTGCCATCTTACGTGTTAAATACAACATACGAAACGGTTTGTCTAACCGGTAATTTATTGTTTGTTTGTTTGATTTAGAGCAAAGCCACATTGGGCTATCTGCTGTGTCCACCGCGGGGAATCGAACCCCGGATTTTAGCGTTGTAAGTCCGTGGACTGACCCGGTAATTTAAATTAGTTAAACTAAAAACGGGATCTCGAGGATCGAAAACGTAGTTATCTCGCTTTAAAAGTCTGCAAGTATTCTGTTGGTGACTACTAGGTTTAGGCATGCGTAATACATTCACATTAAGTTGAGAACTATGTTTGAACCTATGGTCTCAAGGTAGTAAATTCAAAGTCTGTGTGTGTGTGTTGGACGTAGGTTGGTCCTGTAGTAGGTAGAGATCTGGGTTTCGGAGCTGGCAAGCCGGGTTTGAATCCATGCGATGCCAAAATATTCTCTGCACTTTAAGCTGTGGATGCGTTATAAAAGTGACAGTCAATCCTTTAATGTGGATAATAGTGTGCTGGTGACTGGCTGTCTTCCTTCGGTGGATAGTTTCAAATTTGGGACGGCGGCAGATAGCCTTATAGCAGCTTTGCCAGAAATACAAAATACAATTATATATGCATGTATTGGGGGGATGTACCCCCTACATATAACCATTCTTAGGATATATTGGTTTATTTTCTAGGTTTTTACATTTAAGTAAAACTTAAATCTTTATACCCAGCTCGGTTGTTTTTTTTTCAGTAAATTTCGAACGCTATACTTTTCTCAAGTTTTAAATATTCTACATAAAATAATAATAATAAAATATATAAAACTAAAATTGTACCTGTTTGTTTGCACCTTTCATCCATCTGTTCCATATACCTTTCCACACTTCTTGATTAATCAGCACCAAACTTGACACAGTGATACAGGATGACATGAGGGGGGTTGGACTCCCCCCATTTTCTATATATATAAACGTTAATGTATGTGCGTGTGTATCTGTTCCTTATACGTTTCCACATTTCTTGATGAATCAGCACCAGACTTGACAGTGATACAGGATGACACGAGGAAGGTCATGAGGTGGGTTTGGGGTCCCCCCCCCCATTTTCTATATATATAAACGTTAATGTATGTGCGTGTATCTGTTCCATATACGTTTCCACATTTCTTGATTAATCAGCACCAGACTTGACAGTGATACAGGATGACACGAGGAAGATCATGAGGGTGTTGGACCCCCCCTCTAATTTCATATTGATAGAATCCTTGAAAACAGTAGGCCTTTCTTTTCAGTATTGGTACCTTTATGCATTTTTAGTGTACTTTTAATGTTTATTATGTTAAGAAGAACAAAATAGAAGCACAATGTCCTAGCCTTTGTTACAAACGAGTAGTTTTCCAGCTAGTAGTAAATAAAACGTGCGATGTTTGTTTTTCTTTTGATTTAGTTTTCAGTACACCCTGTTTCGTCATTTGTTACAGAACGGTTGCTATAAAGGTAACAATTACTGTCGTTCATGTGATAAAAATGTGTGGTAAAAGTTCAACACAAATAATATTTCAAATTGTTTTGGTGTGAAGTTATAATAAACTATATATTTGTCATAAGACAATAGTATTAGGATTATATGTATTATTAAATACTGTTATATATACCCTTCTTCTCGGAAAATCCCTAAGGGACTGAATAAAGAAATTTCGTGTTTAAAATTAAAACTGAAATACTGTCTTGTGACAAATATAGTTAATTGTAGTGTTGCAAGTTCTTCAAAGAAAAGCCGTGAAGTAATCCACGAGTAACAATAGTTTTATATTGTACCGAAACAATTACTTGTTAGAACAACAATTGTTATGACGTGAACGCCTTTTCCGCGAAACAGAATTTTAATTAATTAATTATATACTTGTCATAAAACATAGGTGTTAGGCCTATTATGTTTTAACACTAAGTTCTTCATGTAAACCCTGGGGTTATTGAATTGTATAATAATTACATTTAAACCACAATGTTTACCATATCCATTGCCGACGGCGTGACCCAACTGACCTGATGATCTCTGGATTGAACGAAACGCGTCGTCGACAATGGATATGGCGAACTGAGTGTGATTGGTTAATTTTTGAATTTCCTTAAGGGACTGAATAAAGACTGTAGTGTTTAGAAATACAATAGCCGTAATAGCAATGTATTATGAGAGGTATAAAATTAATTAGTTGTTAGGTTATACACTAAGTTCCTTAAACAATAAGTGTAGCCGGTCGGTACAGAACGTTGGGATTTAAATTATTACCAATTTTACTGTGTTGTGATGTTAAATACAACATACGATTACACATATTACTAATAAAATACGCATCATTTTGTCCGATCGGATGTGGTGGGAGTATTAATTTAAAAGTATCTATGAGAAACTAAATTTGATTTTGCGTTTATGATTCAAACGTTTGATATATCCAGTTCTCGTTTCTACTGTGGCCCGGAATGGCCAAGTGGTTAGGGCAGATTGCGGGGTACGAATCCCCCTTACACCACACA